CCCCCCCCCCCCCCCCCCCCCCCCCCCCCCCCCCCCCCCCCCCCCCCCCCCCCCCCCCCCCCCCCCCCCCCCCCCCCCCCCCCCCCCCCGGGGGATTACATGATGCATGTGCAAATCTTCTTATATTAGCAATAATGAGCACTGTAATGAATTTTTGTGAACGACTTGTCTCGACAAGTAGACGAACTACAAGTTACAATGAATAAATTCTGTTTGTTCAGTCATATAGCACATAAAAACAAAGAAATTCAAGCTATTGAAAAATGAACTTTATATAATAAGGAATCTGAACAAGCCATACATGAACTATAACATTCCGCTAATATCACCGTTCGTTGAACTACAGTTTCATGATAGCAGGAACTGGTGCATGGTCATGTTCTTCGTGTTCTGTTAGCTTATTATGTACTCAAATAACAAATATATTGAGAGTGATCTGTGATTACAGCAAAAATGCTGAAAAAACCGATAAAAACCCAGGTTTTTCATTTACAAAAACGCTGTAATACGGAAATAAAATAATATTTTCAGAAAAACAAAATCACCTCTGAGATAGTCTGAAGAGCCTCAGGTAAAAATTCGAGTCCGATCAGATGATTTTTTCGCAGGATCGTAATAGGAGCCAATGAAAAACTGGGTTTCTCGATATCCTGGAAAGGATGATAGATAAAGGGTTGAACAACAAAAAAAAAGTACCCAAACGACGTTTTCATCTATCCTGAAAATACGAACTCTTTATCGCTTTTACGTAGTTTATTTTTGGCAGCAATTTCACCAAAATCCAAAATGGAGGAAGGGATACTAAAGATACGCACGGGACTTTTATCGGGACCAGAAAAACTCATTATAACTCAGCCATTTCAAAAGCTAAAATTTTTCTGAATCATACGGTTCAAAGAAGTCACTTATAGTTTCGCAACTTTGAGCAACCATCCATCTCGGAGGGGCCGATGAAAAAATAATCGAAAAAAGCCCACGTGACTAATCTGATCCCGTGGGCTTTTTTTCTGAGATGGATGCTTGCTCAAAGTTGCACAACATTTTAAACCGAAAATACAAGTGACTTCTTTGAAATGTTCGATTCAGAAAGATTTTAGTTTTTGAAATGGCTGAGTTATAAGGATTTTTTCTGGTCCCAGTAAAAGAGTCTCCTCACAGAGCTATAGACTTTCGAAAAACGAGTAAAATAAATTCTTTTTTGTTTTTCTAAGAGGTGTACTGCGGATTTTTTGTGCTTTTTACCATTTTTCGTACACTGTAGCTCCATGAGGGAATATCTTAGAGAGCTCGTTTTCATTAGAATTTTCAGCTCTACAAGATCGAACTGTTGTAAAAGATTTCCAAAAAACCCTCAGGTGCTTAGGATCCCGTTGGAACGGGGTTTTTCTGGAAACCCTATCTTCAAGACTCTCTGTAAAACAGTGGCATATACCTCATATGATCGGGCATCAGCTGTCCATATCACTATTTGGATTTATTCCAGCTAGTCGTCTTCATAGAAAAATTTGGAAAATCGTGTACTTTTACAATTTTGAGCAGTGCTGTACAAGATCAGCTATACAACGGAATTTCTTTGATCTAGGTTCAAAAGCAAAATTTCATTACATTTATTAATAGAAAGAAGGATGAACACGGGGGACTTCCAAATTAAACAAGAAATCATGTCTTTTCCTATTTGTTTAGACAAAAAACCGTATATTGTGTTATTCAGGTTTTTTAGGCCAGTGTCAAATATCCGATAATTTTTCTTTCGACAACGCTTTTCAAGCTGAAAATACACTGATTGTGAGCGATTGTCGGAAGAAAAATTATCGAATTTAACTCATTATCGCTCTTGACCTCACCCCATCAGTCTGACTAACAAGCTTAAAATATATGTTAGACTAACATTGTCCTTATTCTCTAGAGATCGATTCTTATATAAGAATCTTGTAAGAATACCATAAGAAAGTGACAAGAATTTTGACCAGTTCTTTCCACTTTCGTATAAGATGCTTGCAAGGTTCTTATCTGATTCTTATAAAAGCTATTCTGTTTTCCCCAGGACTATCCTCTTGCTCCGATGAACTCGCTCTTAGTTGCTTGAATTGTATTGAACTCTATGATCTCCTGACCGTTTTTCTATTTATTAACCCAAACTACCGTTTCTTTAACAAACAAATGGTAGAAAAAAAACATAGTTACCTGTGCAAAAATAAAGTTACATCACAACAGAATCACATAGGAAAAAAAACAAAAAAACTGTTTTTAAAAACTTGATTTTATTGGAAGTATTTTTGTGAGGGAATTACAAGAATGAGAGATGGTATTCGGTTGGGGATAACTTTTATACATAAAATTCAGTAAATTAGTGACACTTCTTTTTATCTAACAATCTACCTGGAGATAGACATAAAAATTCAAAACAAAAATGAAAAGTGGATTGGCTAGTATAGGGATGGATCGGAAGTGCTTTACTTCTAAGACTTTCATCTTGTGAGAAAGGGTCAAACTCTTCGTCAACCGATTCGTCTAGAAAAGAAATTGATATAATTCAGAACTAGAGGACGTATCAGACAGATTATCTTGGGAAAGAACAGGAAAAGCACTGGGAACGGGAAGGGAAGTATACGTGCTCGAAGAAGATCCTCATCCTCAAAGACAGAAACGGAACTAATCTGAAATGGACTTAAGACTAAGACTATTTTATTCAAAACATTTAGCCATGAAAAGTCATTAGCCGTTATCAATGACGACGATTTTTACTTTCTTCTTCATCGTTGTAGTTCTGCGTTTCTTATTTTATGAACTACGTTGAAGAAATTAAAGAAAAGTTGTTTTTATCGCTTTTGCTTCGGGGAAGTTCAAGACTAGACCTAGCTGACGCCAAGATCGCCCAAGAGATCCAAATTTTTATTTTTATTTTTTATGTTTTTATTACTGTCAATTTTTACTTTTTTGTTCGTGTTCTATAAGCTGTACAGTAAGAGTAAAATAAAAGTTATCTGACCGCAACGGTCAAATTTTTCCAACATTGTCTTTACGTGGCTTTACAATATGGAACAACTTTTACGTTTGCTCCGAGGAAGGCCAAAACTGGATCTAACTGTCGCCAACACTGTCTGAAAGGACTAAATGATAGCAATGTGAGTTGTTCTTCCAATACAGGAAAAAAAGTTGTCTGTTCCGATGAACCGTAACTATTCATTCAGGCTATGCAGTATCTTGTAATGTACACCACCTTTTCGCAAAATGTAGCAAAAAAATTGCAGCAATCAACAGGAAAAACATACGATCACTGTACATTTGAAAAAAGAAACGTTCATGGTTTTTTCACCTACTTTTCTTTGAACCACATACAAAAGTTCGTTCGATCATTGAGTAAGATCCGTGAAGTATTTAATCACAGGCTTTTCAACCAGGAAGTTGTCAGCCAGATCTGTAATTTTTCACGCACTTTAATCCGTATTTTCATGGAAAAATTACAGATCTGGCTGACAACTTCCTGGTTGAAAAGCCTGTGATTAAATACTTCACGGATCTTACTCAATGATCGAACGAACTTTTGTATGTGATTCAGACAAAAGTAAGCGAAAAAAACCACAGACGTTTTTTTTAAATTTACCGTGACATGTAACGGGAAAAATATGACATTCTCTCCACCCCCATTAGTCTATTTTAACTAATGAAAGTGATGGAACGGAAAATCCGTTTTTAGATGTATTACGATATGACATTGCCGCCGAAAAAAACGTTAACAAAATATATATAAAGTCACAGTTAAAACGTGACATTAGTTTTCATGATGCCACGTTTCTACTGTGACTTTTTATGTTTTTGCCGTTACTTTTTTTTACAGTGATATATAATGGTCAAGATAATGTACAATGACGAGCTACAATGACTATTCATTGTATCTTATCTTGACCTATGAGAATTATTAGCGCAGCCCTTTTGTTGTTGTCCATTAGCAACCTTTTCTGACGTTCTTGAAATGTGACATAAAGTTATGAATATAAGGCTGAGTTTGAGTAAATATATTAGATTTAACGTAAGTTTGATTATTATGTGCTGAAATTAAAGAAAACGTTTAAAATTTCACCGAAGTGGCGGGCAGAAAATGGCGCACGTATACGGTAAGAGTATCAGTGGTTTCACTGATTCCTGCTGGGATATGGATTTTTTTCTTTTTGTCTTGAACCTTCTAATATCAATGTTATAATGCATCAAATATTATAATCAGAGCTGGTCCGAGCCGGGGTGAGTGACCTCCCTAATAAACGAAAATAATTCTTTTTCATCATCCAAATGAAAAAAACTTTGCAAATAAAGCTCGCGCAACGAAACAGTTTTTCTGTCAAAAAATAACTTTATTTTTAGAAAAAATCGTTAAAAAAGAGTCTATTGTTGGTCACTCTTTCCGTCTTGTAGTATGTTCAGATAGATATGTTCGTCTGTCTTTCTTTTTTACAGCTGAGTTTGGCTGCATTATATTTTAAAGTTACCACAAAGTGGAGGAGAGTGGAAAATTATCTGGACATGAAAAACGTAGGTAACACACAGACATTTTTTAAAGTTTCAACGAATGTATCTCGAGAACGATAAGAGAGAGAGACTTGAAATTTTCAACAAATATGTAGGTAAACAAATTCTATAATGGCCTTTAACATTTCAACCTCAACCGTCTACCTGTTTGGATTTTATGAGCAAAATAGTGGTCAGTAACGCACAGACAAAAAAGACCCTCTTCTCTCGGTGGATCTGAAAGAAGTGATAAATCCTGTGAACTACTGCATGTTCATGAATTGCACGAGAGTGGTTTTTGTAGCTGAAAATTAGGGCTGTCTTTTGTTGAAAAGAAAACATTGATACCTTGAAAAACGACTGAGTTATTGACAAAACACTAGGTAATGCACAGACACGAATTTTAAAAAAAAATTCCTAAGTCTAAAATATTATTTCGTATTTGGAAATATAACTGCAGAATATCAACATAATGATGTTCATTTGTATTTCAAGCAGCCACCACTGTTTGCATGTTAATGTTTTCACTAATGCTTATACAAGTTTGTGTTGAAGACAAAACGATACAGTATAGTCACAGGGGGAAAATCGTATTTTCTGAAAAATTCGTCTTTTGCAATTTCCTTAATCTGAATAATAAAATAAGCATTGCGACAGTAATCAGCGTGTCCGATAGCCTATGTATCATGTGTTTGTGAAATTCGTAGGGCTCAGGTTTGGCCGCTAGGTAGGTCCTCGGAGATTGCCTCTAGCATCCGAACCATGATAGATGGAGGTGTGGGACGTGTGTCAGATCGTAGAGCGACGTCTGATCTATACCCACACGTATTAAGAACAATATCTTTTTTTTTGAATAACAGGCTCAGACTTTTTCTTTCGAAAGGTACACCATGTCAGAGCTGTTGGATAAGACTCATTTTAGCATAGGGTTACGTCCCCGTGTGTTCTCTTTTATAATCCCAAAACCGCAGTTCTCTAGCTCATTCGGTTCTTCAGTTATTCAAAAAACATCCGACTGCATTATATTTTGAAATGGACAGTATTAAGTCTTTTTCTGTCGAAACAGCATTGTGAAGACCTTTTTTCTTCAAATTTTCTCCTGACGATGTTGTCCAGAAATTCCTTCAAAAAGTTCGTGTTTTTATCTTCGGTTGTATTCCAAATTAAGTAGTCAGCCACAAAAATCATGCAATTATATCGGACTTCAAGTTATAGCTGAAACAAATAACTTTCAGCCGGTCTATGTATGTGTTAATATGAGGCGCCCAAAAGGTCCTGTCTGTGCGTTACCAAGTTTCTCAGCACTAAAGCATTTGGACGAAAAACCAATATGTGCATTAAATAATGCATCAGAAGTAAGCGAAAGATCAATGAGAGTTTAAAAATAAATCGCTTTAGTTTAATCAAAAAATAAACTAAACTCGTTTTTCGGTAAGGCATAGACATCGATTCAGGGCTGGAACCGATCCGGCTGGTAGAGACCAGTATTTCACCGGTTGAAACATCTGCTCTTTTATCCTGTTTTTCGTCAATAAAAACTAAAATTTCACGTCTTTTTCAGTCTGAATAAATAAGACGATGCTCAATAAGACAGATATTATTTTCATCACTTGTTTTAAGGTTAAGTATTACAGACTCATTATTATGAAGGTTCTCGCAAACTAGGTTCTTCGCCAACTATTTCATGTCTCAGGAAAATTCTTTCTGAAAATCGATTTCAAAAAACTTCGCCAGGTTTTCGTCGGTTTTTGCCGATTTGAGTTATTATTCCAACCGGCCCGTTTACTGGTCAGCCTCGTCCGGTTACACTTTCAGACCGGCCGGACCGGATCAGTCTACCTTTTCTCAACCAGCTCTGCATCGATTTATTCTAGTTTTTTAAAAGATTTTTCTCATAGCAAAAACGATCTAGGAAACTTTTAAATAGAGATGAAAAGAAAGCCCAGACTCTGCACTTCAGAATTATATAAGATACTTCATGATTATCTCTTTCATTCTTTCATTGTATACTTTTTTCTTGTACCATCATCAATCATACAATATTGGTAGTGATCCATGATTTTGTTTGACCTATGTTTTTTTATTTATTAAGCATGAACAAATAGAACAAAAGACAGTGTCCTATGCAGAAAAGTGTGTTTTACAATTTGATAATTTTTAATTTTGCTTACTATTAACTCGTACTTTAATCATGCTGGTCGACCGTTAACGGTTTTTCATGCAGAGGAAAAAAGAAATTCATAAGAATGAACCCTACCTGAACAAAGATTCTCATTTCTTAGAGATTTGCACCGTAGGGGCGAAATATTTTCCGTTAGCTCTTAAATGTTTTCCCAATCGGAGAAAAAAACGTTAACATTGATGCTAAAGTGAAAGTTGAGTTTTTTCGGTATGTGATCAAAATCGAGTACCAAAGAATAAAAGAATTATCTCCTTCTGTTGAAAAATGGTGACGGTGTGAACGTTTTTGTGAGTGTCTGTGACATCCATTAATGATTTGTTCTGAAAATTTCATATCTTATCTTCAAATAAAGACTCTACGGATTTTAAAATACTTTGTTACTTAATACTAGTTTTTTACCTCTCTGAGTTTTCATTTCCGCCGAAAAAAACTTTAAATTCATAGGGAGCATGAAGTTCTGTATTTTATTAGATTATTTTGAACATAAATTTTAGGAAACTATGACCAAAAGGTAAAAAAAAGTTAAAACTTTTGTCTATGCGCAAAAAGAACAAGAATTCGAAGAGAAATAAAGACTTTTATTTTCGTACTTTTAAATTGCTAATATTTTTCGATCAACGAACTGAAGATCATAGTTCAATAAAATTCAAGCAACTAAGAGAGAGTTGACAGTCCTGAAAAAATTAGGACAATTTTTATAAGAATCAAATAAGAATCTTGTGAGAATTTCATAAAAAAGTGACAAGAATTGTTCGAAATTCTTGTCATTTGCTGTATCACAACATCCGAATTGCACTAATAGTGATGAACTTGTTTTTTTCGGGTAGTTTTTCGAGAAATTCCTGTCAATTTAATCTTTACGTACAATAGTCTTATTTTTTCTTGCCCTTGATGGTGGTTATTATTGATTGACTATACAACTGTAAAAGTTTTAATGAGCTGGTATACTGGACCTTGCTGCAATATCAATAGCTTAATTAAATCAGTAATTTCATTTTGATTGTCATCTTGATTATATTCTTGTTCTTGGTCATTATTCTAACAAATTTTTAGAAACGATTGTTTGAACAGTAAATCATACAATGTGCGTTTGTGTTATTAGGATTTTTTAATTTTTCTTTTAGATGTCCTTTAGATCACAAGTGAGATTATACAGAGAATTAAAGGCATAGCCTCTATTTTTTATGTAATCTCACCTATTTTTTGTCTTGATTTTACCGATCGTTTGGCAACGTGGGCTTAATTTATTTATGTGCTTACTCATCATTTGCATATTTTTTTGTGTATGTTTTATTATTTATCTCATTATGATTATAGTTTGACTTTTTGTCATGTTATTAGAATCGCACGATTTTTTGTCTGTATGCGTATTAACTATTATTTTTGCCATAATATGTCTCGTGATCGATCTTCTAATCGCGACTGATAGTGTGATATCCTACTCAAAAAATGAACAGAACCTATGTTCAAATGTATTTGAATCCAGTCTATTTTGATGAAAAATTCTCTAAATATCAGTTAATGGGCATGGTATATAGATCTCCCCGTCTATGGCTTCTTTATTATTCATTCATTCATTCATTCTACGTAGATGTGGGATTATCAAACATTTCAATCAGTTTGATTAAGACGGTTCGATCAATTCAATTATTTTTTTTAACCAGAACATTCTCCTGAAGCATTAAAATTTCTCCTTCAATAATTAATGAAAAATAGGCAAAAGGCAAAACGTGAAAAAGTAACGGTATCAAACCGTGATTTGAAACGAAAACAAACTGTATTCACGCAGAAAGATAAAAAACATGTACAAGTGAGTTCTAAAGTTTCGTTGCTTTTTCTTCATGTACTCAGATAAAGTTCCTAATTGTCAATGTTTCTACTAGATTTCATCGGATTACGATAGTGAACACTCAAATAGTCAACAGTTTCATCCAGATGATCGTTTTCAGCCGTCTTTATATACACCTAACAGACGTCCAGTTGTAAGACGAATTCAACGACAACGTTCATGCTTTGAATATTTCAGAGAATGTTTTACTTGTTTTCGCCATCGAGATGTACCTCAACTTATAGAAGCAGAAAACTATATGCCATTTTATATTCCGGACGAATATTTTGATCGACCGAATTACTTCCATTCACATCCAATTGAATGGCATCTTCATGATGATCTTACTCTAAATCGTCCATTATGTAAACGACATTCTGTTCATCGATACTCAAATATCGATGATAATGAACTCTTACGAGAGCAGAAATCTCTTAGACAAAAAACTCAAGCAATTTCACATCTAAATAGTCCAAGAGACAGTGTTACATCTGTGGCATCACCGGACGATTTTGTTCCAAAACAAGAGTATTTACATCGTCGACGAAGTTCTGTTCATTTTAAAGATGAGCAAGCTTCAAATAAAGAAATTGTGTCTGATAAGTCGACTGAAACAAAGCAGGAAATTCAAGGAGAAGTTGCTTGTCGGAATAATGAAGACGATATATGGACGACAGTGACAATTGGTCAAGAGACTACAACACAATCTGGTCATTTTAATCGGCTTTCTCTCGAAAATGTAACAATCGTATCTGAAAATAACGATCATGTATTAGACATCCCTAAAATAGATACATATGATAGCACGCACCTACGCGATACGTGTGAATCATTGTTACCATTCCCAGATGAATTTGATGTAAAAGTCAATCAACATCAACCATTTAACAGCCACAAAATGAATACTAATTTTTCTACAAAGAACTCACATAAATCATTGTCCCACATAAAGAAACAATTTGACTCTTTATCACCTAAACAAAAATCACCGTCACCATCAGTATCTAACATCATTCATGATAATAAAACTCGTTCGTTGAAAAAACTAAATAAAATTGATGACAGACAAGAACAATCTCAAACTGATACTCTATTTACACTACCAGCAAATAATAATTCGTTATTATTATCACCAAAACACCAAAATGTTGACGATAATTCATCATCCTCTTCCTACCTTAATGAAATAAAACCATTTGAAGAAATTAATACAGAAGGAAGATACAATTACATTGATTTAGCCGAAACATTAAAATCAAATGTTCAACGATTAAGAAACACATTTGTTACAATTAAACAGCGAGAAAATAATAATAATAATAATAATAATACAAAACAACAAACTGAAACCAAGATTATATCTCAAAATGTGTATGAAACGACGAATTTCTATGATATTTTTAGCAGTGGAACAGTTGAAAATGCCAACAACACTATTATCATGAATAATAATATACTTGAATCAAATAATAGATTAGCTTATGCAGAATTATTACCGATTATGAATAATTCAAGAAATATTGAAAATAATCAAAATTCATTAAATCATTATTTAAAATAGATTCATTTTCAAAAAAATTCAATTCAAATGTACGTATAATTTGTAATGCTACTTCAATATGAATAATCAATCGAAAACTTGATGAATCATTTTTATTAATGTGTAGAGATCAACGGGAAATGACAATTTATTATTAATTGAATCTTTTCGGTTTTTTTTTTCTATATTTGTCAGTTTATTTAATTCTCTCTCGTGTTACAAAAAATGATGTCTACAACGATACTGTTAATTTATGCTTGATTTCCGATTAAAAAAGAATTTCTGTTACGATCGACTAAATTGTCTAATATAATTTGTGTTCTGGATGCGAAAATGATCAAGAGTTTTATTAATGCATAATACACACAATTGTTGTATATCATAGTCGAGATTGGAAAATTAACAGCTCTTCTTAGCGATGAAGCAGATTGATTATTCAAAGAAGAGACTATATTTTAGTCTAAAAAATTTTTTTTTTCTTTTCACCATAAAAGATTATCTTCTACACTATACAATTGACTCTAATCAGTACTTCAAATAGTTGCTATTCTTTTCTTTTTTTTTTTCTTTCTCTTTCTATGTTCATCTATCATGTATACTCTCACTCATTACAACACTTCTTTGACAAGCTTCATCTAAGTATTCTGGATATATTCCTATAAACTCTAATCATCAGGTTTAATTGGATATTTTACAACAATAAAATAAATAAATATATAAATCTGTATGAAAGAAAAGAAAGGTATCATCATTTATGAAATTGTTAAAAAAAGATATAAATAAATAATGATATACATTTGAATACACACACCTCTTAAAATGAATCACAGTTCATTTTTCCAATAGACGTCTAATATGTTAAGTGTGTAAAACAAAAAATAAAAAAAAATAAAAGGAAAATGAGTTAAACGATCATTTTAGATAGAATAGACCATTTTCATCATAATATATTTTCTTTTTTTTCCCAAAATATAGACATAATCGACATTTTTTTTTTTTTTTTTTTATAGTACACTGTACTTTCTCTCGTTACAATTAGATGAGATGCCTGTCATCAAACCAATCATTCATTTCTATTTTTTTAATCTTCAATAAACTCATCATTTGTCTTGTTGTTATTTTATAGTAGTTTTCAGATTTTTTTGTTTAGTTTTTCTAAACTGTTTCTTACAATAATCAGTAACCTATTTATTCGATATCAAAGTTTAGTCTAAGTAGGTAGATGATTTTTTTTTTTTTTTTTTTTTCTATACACTATATTGTACAGAGAAACAAACTATTTAAAGAATTAATAAATGTTTAAAGAAATTATTCAATTATGTATATAATAGAGAAGAATGAGATATGAACTATTTTTACTATATCTAATGCAATAAAAAATAAATCAGATATTGTCTCCTTTGTTTCTATTTTTAAGACATCAATTTACACATTTACACGGATATAATCTTTGTGAGAAAACCATAATACTAGTGTGTTGTCGCGATACTTTTTCCTAAATGATTGTCACTAGTCTATAAATACAAGTGCTTCTTTTTTCTTCTTTTTTTTTTATTCAAGAGCGAAGAAAAAAGAAAATTGTTGTTTTTAAAACCATCTGTACATGATTTCATTTTCATCTAAAAAAAAAATATATATATATATATAGATATATATAAGATATATTTTTCTGTTGATCGCCGCATTAACACTGGTAGATAGAGCAATTGAAAAAACTTATACGGGAAAAATATGACACTTTTCTCCGGATGGACATTACAGAGTGTGTTTTTTTTTTACAAGGTAACTATTCTAAATTTGAGAGTGAGAAAAAAAACAAATACTTTTAAGTAAAATAGTCCAGAAGAGGATACTTCTATCTATATAAACTCTATATATTTATCTATCAGTCTTTTGTTTATTTATTAGAGCTTATTAACGAAAAATAAGTTCACTAGATAATCGTTTTTCTTCTATTCTATGTAGAAAAATGTTGTAAAAAGAAACAAAAAATGACAGGAAATCATGCTTTTCATTTTTCTATTCTATGTTTTTTTCCATATTTTATTATATTAAGATTTTTTTAGGCTATTATCGTATCGTTCTATACAGAAAATTTGTGGATAATATAACGTATATACTCTCACTTCTTCCTTTTTAATAGATAAAATATAGATTATACATAAAGATGTCTATAATCAATCTCCCATATCAAAAAGATTCATTTTTGACAAAATTGTTTATGAATGCACAACGCAATTTTTTGATGGTAAGTACATCTTTATTATATGAGAAACTAGAGTCTTCAATGTTTTTGATAAAAATTTTAGTTCAATCGAATCATTTTTTTCGAAGGGTCGTAATGTGACTAGATGAAATCTGAAATTTTCCAGAAAACCTATAGAAAAAACTTAACATCAAATTCTAAGCCAAAAAGAATACATCGACTGTCTTTTTCGATATTCTATCTTTGATGTAAATTTGGAGTCAATCAAATTTTCTTTCCGCGTTTTGCCAACAAGGTCGAAAAAGGGAAAGGATGCTCTTAGTCATAGTTTTTTTTTTCATCAGAACATTTTCAAGCTTAGAACTAGGCATGCACCAATTTCAAGCAAATACTTATAAAGATCACTATATTTTTCGCTATTAAGCGTTTCCAGTTCCGACCGAATTTTTTCCTACAAGAAAAAGCTCCAGTTTCATCTTCTCCATCAGTTAATACAAATTAAAAACTGTTACATCAGGCGGAAAATCCGTAAGAATTGATGAAATTTGCAAAAAATAGAAGTTTTAATGGCTGATTTAATAGTTTTAATTTGTATTAACGAATAGAGGAGATGAAAATGTTTTTTCTTGTAGAAAAATCCGGTCGGAAATGGGAATGCTTAATAGCAAAAAATATAGTGATCTTTATAAGTGTTCGCTTGAAATTGGTGCGTGCTTTATAACCATTATCGATATCGACCTGTTTCATATATCTTTTTTTTTATTCTTTATGATATAGATAGAAAAGTTAGTACTTAATATGAATGACGTATTAGGTTATCAAAAACAACGACACATAGATAATCTATATTGACGCCTATTATTTATTAATGATTACATTTGTCCTAATTCGATCAAGGAATAGGATGTTGCGGATTTTACTGTTTGATTTTGTCATATTTTGACTGGTAAATACCAGTTGTCATCTATTTTATAAACAAAAGCACTAAAAAACTAACAAAAGAGAAAGGTAATTAGCGTATTTAGAGATCAGAACTTCAAGGAATTTTGTTTTAAACAGTTAATGTAAATCTCTCGAAACTCTGTTCTATCTGATATTTTAAAGTTTTTCGACTTTGAGTAACAACGTGATATGGCATACAAAACTGTCCAGAGATAATGTTAAGGAACATGGGCTATTCTTTTCGCGTACTGAATCAAGTTAAAAGAAAATAGATTTATTCAATTAGTTTGTCCAAATTCAATCCTATTCTTTCTAATCCTTCTGCAAATGTCACTTCAGTCTGTTTAAAATGAATAAGAGAAAGAGGCATACACGAGGTCAAGTAACATTTTACACATACACTCAGACACATTGTTATTTTATTCTTAATTAATTTTATTTCCATATTCCAAGAAAAATTTCAAGGAGTATTTCTTCTTTTCTTTTCTTATTTCTGTATAGTAGTAATCTATGTATGATTCGATTCGAAAAATACATTTTGTATCCATTCTAAATATCAATTTTTTGTTATAAGATTTGTAGAAGATCTTCAAGGCTCGATACACGTGTCATCAATTTTAGCAGAAAATAAAACATCATCATCATCGTTCATTTATAAAAGATTAAGATACTTAGAATGAGAGAAAAAAAGAATCCTGTCTGACAACAATAATTCATAAATTTTCTTCTAACCATAACAAAATATGCTATATTCACTTACCATCAAGAATATATCTTATCTTTTGTACGTGGAAAAGTCTCTATTAGAGATTATCTGTGTTATTATTTATTGGGCAAAAATAAACTCAGATAATTCATTTTATCATTCAAAAACAAAAAAGTACACCTGAAACGGATGTTTTGGTACATAAACAACGGATGAACATTATACTTTTTCTTTTTTTAAGTCTCTTCTCTATTCATATATTTTTCAGTATTAATTTCAGTCATCTACTTAAAAACTAAGATTTATTATATATAGTTAACATTTGGTACAAAATATGATTAGATCTTATGAAATTTTCATAAATATTTAACATCTGCACGTGTTTGATAATTATTTTGTCTTGTTAAACGATGAAAAATGTCGTTTATTCACATTAAAATTCTTCTTATCTTAAAAAATAATTTATGACATGTTCAAAAAAAAAAAATACGGGAAAAATAGAGTTTTGTATATATACTATATATAAAAAGTGAGGATCGTCAAACATTTTTTGACAAACGAACTCCTCGGTAATAGAGAGTAATCTAGAGTTTCCTTTTTTTCACTTTATTTTCTGTTCGTTTTTTTTGTTTTTGCAATCTTATATGTGCTTGTTACTCGTGATATAACTATCGGCCTATGTGTAAGAGATGTGATGTAAACACGCAAACGAAAATTGGCATTTAATTTTTTTATTTCCTTTCATGTCAAGGACAGCACAAACACACACACACATCCATACACTATTGTCTACAATAAAAACAAAAAAATTGCATTAGTTGTTGTTTTCTTACTGCCAATTAATCAAAAACTTATTCGTCTTTAAACTTTTCTTCCTTTATCTACACATCTGTATTATTGACAGACGGAAATTTCTTTGTAAGAAGAAAATTTCTCTTAGAAAGTATTTAGTGTACTTAAAAAAATCAAAATCGGAATAAAATGATATTGTATTGACATGAAAAACAGCGTCATTGAACAGCTTCATAACATGGAATAAATAATTTAAAATATATATCTTAGTTTTGTTAAAACTTATTATGTTTAGAAAGACATCATGAATTTCATGTTTTTATTTTATGAATTAATTGATGTTATTAATATATTACATTAATTAAACATTTTTTTTTTTGCAATATAAATTTTATATTAGTATATTTCAGATAAAAATTTAAAAATATTTTGATCATTTTAATTAAGAAGTAACAAGTTAATAAGAGATACCTATTCGATCTCTTCTCATAATTACTCTTTAATAGTGAAAAATTCATTCAGGTGAGTGTTAAATAAGCTGAATTAACGTATTCATGCAAATATCTTACTAGTTGTACATCTATTTCTTAATCTAAAGGTATTATCACTATCGACTGTAAAAGATTCAGATGACTTAGCAAGAAGAAGAAGAAGAAAAAATAGCCTGCCATTTATCTATCATTATCGGATTTAGAATGTTGATAAATAAACTTGTCGATTTCAAGTAGCTCGATATATTTTTTGTACAGGAAAATCTTCAAACATAGTCACTAACATCTTTGTTAATTATCAATCACAAAAACAAGTCTGATGTAGAAGTTTTTCGCCTAATTACTCAAGCTTTTCATACATGAACCATATAATAGTTTTACGATAAGTCAGAAGAACTTGTCTACTACTTCTCTACGATATATTTCTTTTTAGTTTTATTTTACTTTAAGAAGTGATGCAAAAATAATTACACATGTATAGAAAACTCCAGAAGGAGTCCTCTTGAGGTACTGACAACTACGATGTTAGTCCTCGCCATAAATAGTTTTGTTCTATATATATAGATCTAATGATTAATTATTCACTGAGATCAATAGGTAAATGAATTTTGTTCGCTACTGTTCTTTTCTTGTATCATTCGATTTGTATTTATCTTAACAAAACGTGTGAATATAATTCTATGATTATAAGTCTATATCTAGTTTTTCTATCGGTATGCAGCAAGTTCTCATCAAATCTCAATGGAATCTCCCGAGATTTGCGAGTAACAGTAGGACTCTATTTTTGCGAAACGAGAGAAAGTTCGTTAAAACTTATAAGAAAAATTCAACATGGGATGATAATAAGAGAGTAACGAGCTAAATAGTAATATGTATGAATATTACTCTTCAATTAATATTGAACTAAATCTACTCCTTTTCGAATCAATTCTTAAAGTTTAAATTTTTTAGATGGATAGACAAAAAATATAATCTGATAGACAAACAAGTGGTGACAAGAAAAGTTGTGTAAAAAAAAAATGTTTTAATTCCAAGTTTTACAACTTATTACTTCTTAAAGATTTTTCTATTTGAATAAGTAGTGTAGATTACTCGATATTTTAAATACTTGTTCTATTCTTTTAGACTATGAGAATTGAAACAAATCGGTAAGTTTTCTTGGTCTATCTTGAATAGTATCTCATATTTTGTACTTCTATATACATAGTCTTTTATATACAATTGTATACAAAGAGATAAAATAATCAGAAATTATCCAAATGAAAAGAATTTAAGTTTAAAAATAACAAGTGAATGAATGCATAATAAATAATAATCATGTAGAATTTTCTTTTGTCTATGATAGATGAACATATGATTTATTAAAGCGTAAATCGAGGTATAATCATTCATACAAACAACTAAAAAATAATAGTCTTTTTACTCTATAAACCGATGCTCGATTAAATTTATGTTTGAAAAGAAAAAAAAACTATTCTAAAATATAGAGAGATCAAAAGACTTTTAGTTTTTGAGAATAAGAAATAAGAAATATTTTTCTTAATCTATGATTTTAAATAATACAAATTTTTATATGTTAAGGTTTGAATAATTCCTTTGGCTGAAAAAAGCAACTAGATGTTATATAAATAATTTACCCGAAAATAAAAATAATAATAACATGTAAGAATCATCCGCATTATATTAAAAAAGAAAGAAAAAGAAGAAAAGCAATGTTATAAATAGAAATAGAACATAAAACTAGAAGCCAACTGCCCTGCGGGCAGATTGAAAAATCAACCGAGTGAAACATTTTTTAGAAACACTTAAAATACCGTTTGAATACATAAGTAACACTATATAATGTGTGTGATATACAGTTAATAAAGAGCTATATGACCCAATTACTCACTCTAAACAATACATCATCAATATATTATCCACATTGCTATGGGTGGCCAATGTATAAAGGCGTATAGACTGATAAATACCACATGATTACTTAATAAGTCACTAAGTACACTGTTCATACTGAATATACTGGTTATATATATCATGTGCCACGTGACGATAGATTTATTGCATTAACAAGAAAACGACACACTCCTCAGAAATACGTGCAAACTCTGAGACTCATAAAATACGTTAATCCAAGCATATTTCAGTTTTATTATTCTCAAATCTCTCCGATTGGGAATAGCTGAGAATAATTGACTAATTCGAGAAAGAAAAAGTGTGTGGGAAGAAGAAAAAAGAGAAGAAATTTTTCTATGGTGAAACAAAATAAACCTCCTCAAGTTTCACCCGGTCGGTTTAAATAAAAGAACGACGACAAAATAGAATTAATTTTATACTAGTAAACAATGAACTTATATATCTATTAAGAACAATAAATGTGACATGTTGTCCAGATTCATAATCTCTTTTGGTGATAGAAAAAGTAAAAAATGAAAGAAAAAAATTTATCAGTGATATAGACAGTGATCAACTTTCAAAAAAGATTGTGTATTTTAAAATAAACCTTGAGTAAAAATAAGTCGTTCATATCGTTGAGGAATCATAAATAGTTTGTTCAAATAAAAATAAAAACTCTTACAATCCTTCCGGCTATGTAATGGTAGTGTCGTATCGACCCGAATAGACAGACTATTAAACTTTCTTTTTTAAAATATATATATAGTTTAAACTAATTCTTATAGTTCCATATTCTTTTCTTTTTAATGATCCAACTGATATATCAAAATTTCTTTAACGTAACACACATCTCAACAGTTTTCTTATTAAAAACAGTTCAGACTCACAAACTAAACGGCATGATAATATTATCTTAGAACTTTTTTCAATGTTAAAGAAATACAACAGCAGGATATTTTTCTTTTCCATGATCAATTTCTCTTTTTGTATGAAAAAAAAAATAACATATTCACCGTTTACTAATTTTATTATTAATAAAATTATGATATAAGATGAGAGTTAACGGTAAAAATACTCTAAATATTGAAGAGACATATGGAAAATTTTTCTAATGATGATTTATTATTATTGTATTGTATTTTTAAAAAAATTTCTTTTTATATTTTATACCCATTTTCATTCTTGCATATTAGTCAACTATTTAGACAGTTTTTAAATAAAGTCACTCATACAAAAACTAGTATTAGAAATAAAATTACAATTATTCTTTGATTCAATTTAAACTTATTATATATTTATTTATTTATTTTTTACACATTTCAGGATAACAATTCAATAATTCATATTATTTTTCTTGACATTTAATTAAAACTATCATTATTCTACTATTGTTCTATTAAAAAAACTAACAAAAATTATCTGTAAATTTGATTTAGAGTGTCAATTTTCTTTTATCATTCAAAAAAATATTATAATTCTTCTTCCTCTATATATAGTATATTAAGAATCTCAATGAGGAGATGAGATAACTCTCTGTAGTTCTAATTAGTATTAAACGTTGATACTCAAACTCTCTATTATGTACGCTATCTTCTTCCGTTCTTTTTTTTTAATCCATTACAAAAAAAAAAAATTAGAAGATACTCGTTGTAGTATTGTCTTCTATCAGTTACAAGAGCCCACCAGTAGTGACATATATAAGATGATAATATCATTATTATTATTATTATTATTATTAAAGAAAAAAAATTTATTTTAATGTTGAAAAACGTGTTTTGGGATCTATTGTCTTTCAAATTTATTTTTAGAAAATTTATTTCTATAAAAAAAAGAAAAGAAAAAAGTTTAGTTAGTCACGCATAATCATAATTAGTAATATATAATTATATAGTATAATATTATCACACATACATTATTTAATATTTAATGATGAATACTATTAATTTTATAGGTAGGTTATTTAAAAATAAAACGAAACCCATTTTAAATATCAACATTAGATTTTAAAATGATGTACATCTTTAAATTATGTTTTCTACATTTTATATAATCACCTATTAAATATTTCTCAGTAAAAACAAAAAACAAATTTTTGTTTAATATTTATCTTTAATCCTATTTGTAAAATTGTAGTATAATCTACTATAAAAATCTCTATACACAATTATTCCTAGCGTTTCTTTTCTTCTTCTTCTTCTTCTTCTTCTTCTTCTTCTTCTTCTTTTTACATAGATGCAAAAAAAAAAGGAAAGATTTATCAGGTTATTTTTCATGCTAAGTATATTTTTGTGGAACACCTATCATGTAAAAGAAAAAAAAAAAAAAAAAGAAGAGAAAAGAATTGTCATTCTCACATACTTATTGTATATAGAAAACATAAAATAGTAGTATCACCACCAGTGAATAAAAGAATAATAAATATATAATATCTTAAGTCGAGAATAAACCGCATTAGATTTACGTTCAAACCCTAAGGACCAACTATTCTATGTCTTCTTAATATAAAAATAAATCAAAGAAACAATCGATATTTCATCTCTCTATGATCTTATATAATATTAGAATACATTTAACACCTAATCATTTACAATAGACATCTCTTATATACTAAAACAAATTATTATCGATGGTTGATATTAAATATATATATATATATATATATTCTTGGCTACTTTATATGAAAAATGTAATAATTTATATTTTTTATATTAATTTTAGACAATATCATAAAACATAAATGATGGAAAATATATATATATATTGTTATTTTAATTTATAAAATGTTTTATTTGATCTCAATGTATTTATTTCACTAATATATTCAAATATAATGAGCATCAATTGCTCACAAGAAACATACAAAATCGATATTAGTACAATTAGCATTAAATATATTGCTGGTGGATGGCTAACATTGATATTTTGTTTGTTTGGTAAGTATTTTAATAATAAATATGTATCTAAAATTGTATTAGACTGTTTCAAAAAAGAATATCTATCTAATTTATGTTTGAAAATTAGAATTATCATTAATTATATAAGACAATTTTTATTCTTAAACTATAAATAGTACTGTTATCTTTTTCCAAAAATTATTTTTATTCTATTTTAGGTATAATCACCAACATATTTACTGTTGTGGTTTTATGTCATCCTCGAATGAGAAATTCATCGACACATGTTTATTTGTTAGCATTATCTGCTTGTAATATTTTTTTGTTAGCTGGTCTAATGATTAATTATTCATTGAAATCAATAGGTAAATAAAGTTTTATTCATCACTATTTTCAATTCTTGTCTCTTTTTATTTGTATTTATTTCAACAAAGAAAAAAAACAACAACCAAGTGAACATTTTTTTCTATTTAAATAGTAAATTAAATTATTTAAAAAAAAATGTTTTTTTTTTTTCTCTTCTATTTTATTCAGCAACATATCCTCAACTGTTACAATATTTAAACAAACCCGATGGATACAATAAACGTCAAATATTAGCCAATGCTTACGAACAATTTTATGCACGTATGTTGTCTATATGAATGTTTTTCTTCTAGTTTGTTTTTCTTGTTTGAATATTTATTATTATTTACTTTTGTTTTTTAGATGTCGCACCATTCACTACTCCACTATTATCTATGCTCTTGTTATGTAGTACATATTTAACAGGTAAACATTTTAGTTATATTTAATAATAAGAAGAAAAAAAAAAGATTAATTAATCAGAATATTATTTATTTTAGTTCTTGTTAGTGTAGATCGATATTTATTACTTTGTTGGCCTGTTTTTGCTGAAAAATTTCGTACATGTAAAATAGCTATTCGTTGTGTTTTAATAATTGCTTTAATAATTAATTTATATTGTTTACCACACTGGTTTGAATATAAAACAGCTTATAGAAATAGTACATATATATTAGGACCAACAATATTAAAAAATGAAACATTATCTGTTACCGGTAGTGGTGGATTAGAAGATGATTCAGACACATATTTAGTTGAATTAGGATATACAAAATTAGGTTTAAATCCAATTTATTTATCAATCTATCGTTTTTATTTAAATATTCCGGTGACATTTTTAATTCCATTTTCGTTATTATTATTATGCAATTGTTCAATGATACATAAACTAGTATTAATTAAAAGAAAAAAACGTAAATTAGGACAGAGAATGAAGGCAGATATTCGAATAACTGTTATGTTAATCGTTATTGTTCTTGTTTTTCTTAGTTGTCGTTCACTTAATTTAGCAGTTAATTTAATGACAAAAATGCAACCATGTTTAAATCGAAATTCATTACAACGTTATAATACATGGGCTAATTTATTGGTTGCTTTTAATGGTTTTTGTAATTTTTTTCTATTTGCCGTATTTGGACAACGTTTTCGTGAAATGGTTTTATATATATTTTTTCGTCAACAATATCCATTTAATATTGGTGGTGATCATACAAGTAATCGTGCTGGATATACGGCTACACCCGATCCAATTCGTCGTCAATCACGACGATATTCGGCAAATGAATCGGATCTATTACAAACAATGTCACATCGACGTCCATCAGCCACAATGGCCACATTAAATTCAGATATGAAACGACAATCAACATCACAATTAAATACTTTAAAACCATCACGAGAATGGAAATCAAAATTTCTTAATACACCAACATTATTTTCATTTAAAAGAAGAAAAAAATTAATATCATTATCATCTAATAAAAGAACAGATTTACCATTTCTTAATCAACATCAAATAAATATTGAAAATATTAATGATGAAGATGATGATAATAATAATGATAATATTAACAATAATGGTACACATTTAGCATTACCTATTGTGATAAATAATTCGCACAGTCTAATCCCAAGTCCAAGTTGTTTAAAAAAACTATCAACAGACATTACAAGTAATAATAATCATAATAATATACATTTATCACCAACGACAAATCATCGAACCATCATGTTTAATGATCATATTGAATTTATGTAATTGAAAAGATTCATAGACTTTTATTTTTCATTTATTCTTCTTCTAGTTTTGTACTTTTGTACGAATAAATCAAATACATGATGATGATGAGATAGATAATTTCCGAAGACAAATTATAAAAATTTTTGATTCTATTGAACTATATAGAAATGAAGTAAACTGATCATTATTTACATCCATAATCTGATCTTTTTTTTTACTTCAATTACTTATCAATAGTTGTACTGTAAATCTTACTCATGTCTTAGCAGAAAAAATATTCCTCATATTTATTAATAATTGTTTCTAGGCAAACAAAAAAATAATTAATCGAGAACATTGCCGGCTGCATCTTGATTCAACTATTGATTTTGTTTAGAAAATTAATATTGTTTACAGTACAATGTACTCCCCTTCGATCTGATATAATTAGATATTTATTTAATATTTCTAGATTGAATAAAGCTATTTAAGCATATTATCAAGGCTAAAATTAGATCCAATTTCAAAAAAACTAACCCTAAGAATCCAATATTCAACGACTTTCTCATTTAATCATTGTGCCTTGAAATTTGCTTCTCATATTATATTACAAACATATTGAGGAACAAGAGAATATACATACGACACCTTACATTCATTAAATAAAGTCATTGTATCATGAAGTTTGCACCCTATAGTGAATAACCTAAGTGTACAAAAGATGATAAAAAAACAGCTTTTTTTCCATTCTCTGATTGGATTTAAACAAGGAAGAATTTAAATGTACTGATCATATCCACAGTTAGATGTGTTTAAGTAGAAAATTTTTATTTCCTAGTAAAATTATCAAGCAGAAAATTATGACAGCGTATAAATTCTTTATCACCCAAGCAAAAACGACTGAATTTTTTGGGTTATTTATCTAGATTCAGCTTCACATGCATCTAGATGTATGTGGAGCTGAATCTAGATAAATAACCCAAAAACTTGAGTCGTTTTTGCTTGGGGCACTTAGTCCCTAATAAGTTATGTATAGGTCATGCTTTTTTCTTTACATTTTTACATGTGAAAAAAGAAAGAAGAAAAAAAATCCTAAAAACTCAGAGCAATTCGAAATCACTCCTTAAATTTTTCTTTTGTTTTTTGAGTAAACAATTTGAACAATTCGAAACATTTTCATAAATGGAATATTTGATGTTCAGTTATCCGTTGATTAATTTCTATTTTAATTAGTTTTTCTTCATAGAAAAGTATAATTTTTGCTACACGGGATTTACTTTCTGTTGATTACATATATCAGAATATATTCCGACTAACCACTTTCTTGTATAGGAATTTACTTTCCACTGATTATTTGGACAAAAAGCAATGAATGAGCAAATGAATAAATTTCCAAGCGGAACAAACTTTCATCAATAAGGGAATGATAAACCAAATTTTTAATTGGAACCGAGTAATGTTCAATTACTCTAAGTACTGAGTAATGAGAAATGCTGAGAAAGTAGAGCAGTAATCATGATTTTTAACGTAGTTACTTATTTGGGAACGAGAGTAGTCGTTAACATGATAACGTTTGTACAAATATACATATAAAGATAGAGATATGCAACTCTCTTCTTACACTGTTTTTAATAATGTCTACTGAATTTGTTGAATCTACACATGGCAAAAGACAACTATTATCGATTATTAAATCCTGTGTAGCAAACATTATACTTTTCTATGAAGAAAAACTAATTAAAATAGAAATTAATCAACGGACAGTAAATCGTATGCTCGTCTTTCTACACGTACTAAAAATGAGAAGAAAAAGTACTTGTACTTAATTAACTCTAAATGATGCTGTTATCTAGTGCAGAATTTTCATGCTCTCTAATTTTACTAAGAATATTTCTTCGTAGAAATTAGAAAACCTTTGTTAAAATTATTTTTTTTTGACAATTTATTATAAGAAAAAAAAATCCTTAAATTTGTTTTTCTCTATCGAATGGTAGATCTTTTTTGCAATGTATTTTTGAACGTGTAAAAGAGTTTCTCTTTAGAATAGTGTAAGAATCTCGTATATTAAACAAATGGAAAATATTAAAAGAAATGAGAAAACAACATTGTGCAAATCAATGGGGTAATTATGAGGGAAGAGTCAATGGGACATGGTTTAATGAGATTTTTATTTAGCTGAATAGGATTTAAATATTTGTGATTTTCTAAGCTAAATTGTGCTTTCTAGGATTTTTACAGCCTAGTCCACTCATGTATTTCGACCTAATAGAAGTTGACCAAAAACAAATTCCTGATTTCATCATTGGTACGAACATCTATACCTTAAAGATAAATGATCAAGTTTAAAAAAATCATCTGAAATCGTGAAGGACCATTTGTGACATCCGCTAAATATCGGAAAATTTTGCTTAAGATTGCCTGCCAGTATAGGGCATGGTATTTGAATATCCGGATGCCAGTGAAAGGGTTAAGAGATTAACAAGAAAAGAAAATCAAATACTCGTATTGACAACAACAATTCTCATACACTCACACTTATTCTAATATTAGACTTTTACGATCTAATTGCTGTGTCTAACAGCTGTTCAAATGATTAACATACATACACAGTTTAGACTACCGTATCACAGACACATAGTAGAAGGTTCTATTTTCATCTGTTAATTATTTGAAATAATCTTAGACCGGTTATTTGAAGAATTTTATACACTTTTAGCAATAATGAAAAATTGTTAAGACATCTAAAACGTAACTACACTGTAGCGCTCGCAATTAATACACACTGACACAAATGAAAATCAGGGGCCACACATTTTCTATGTAGCTTTTTTTTCCGGTGTGATACACTAAAACTTCGAAAGTTTATAGTAGAACAAAATCAGGGCCTATCATAAAAAAACAAAATTTGAAGAGATTTCTAAATAATATTTGACTCACTTAGGACCGTAGTATTAGATCTAGCCCACTAGGCATGAGCACGCCTAGGCATAGAGCACGCCCACTAGGCACAGAGCACGCCTGACTAGGCATGTAACGGTTATGGTTATTAACCATTAACCGTAACTGTAAATAATCGGTCGAACAGTTAACCGTAACCGCAATAACCGCTCGAACGGTTAACCGTAACCGTAAATAACCGCTTTATAACAACTTAATGTATACTTGGTTTTTAGTTCTTTGATATCGGTTTACATTAGAAGTAGACAAGGATGGTCTTTGTTCTGACGTTTTAGTGCTTCTGCTATAGTGACATGGATGTACTTCGGACCTGTGTGGTACTCAAATTCATTAGATAAAATGCTGAGATTCATGATGACAGATGAAAGATTTTGTTTAAAAAAGTCAAATTATTCTGAAAAATAGTGGTTAATGAGATGAGTTTTTGTGGACTCATTGTTGTCAGCGCTTTTTTTAGTATGCTTTTTCTGGTGGGCGCCTTCTTGCCGTGCACTAGTTTAGAAAAACCCAAACTATCGAGCAAAGACGGGATTTTCCACCAGACAAATGGAAATCAAGTTTTTTATGATCGAAAAATGATTATTTTTAACTAAAACGACTTTCTATACCTGAAAACAGTATAATAAAATAGTAACTTGATCTAAAAATTTTAGTTTCTGATTACAAATGTCTGTGATGGATTCAGTTAAAATTTTTTGACAAAGAAAGTCTCAAGAAATGTTTGAGAACCAAATCATTTCGATATAGTTTTTATGTTTATTCCGAACAAGTCATTTGTGTTGACTAAAAATATATATGCAAAGCTTAAGCTCATTTGAGGTTGCACTAAACTACGTGTAGTCATTTTACTGAAGAGTTAATTGCTCTTGAGAAAATATGTTGGGATGGAAAATTTTTATTTTTCTCTAATGTTTCAACATCAGGGTAGAAAAAATTTTTAATTTCTAGTGGGAAAATGGTGGTGTCAAGATTCATTTTCAGTATAAGTGCACTTACAAGTTTTACAAAAACGTTAATTTGTTCTTACTTACCGTTTTTCGACCTATTTCCAGAACTTTTGCCGCTTTCCAACGAAGGTAAAACGATTCTGTTTATGAGAAAGCTGACGGAGATTTTGTAGTGCAGTAGTCAATATGAAAAATTAAATTCCAGCTGAATTATGGTAAACAAAAAAGGCCTAAAAATCGTTCGGAACCACAGATTTTAATGGTTTTATAAGTTAGACGATTGCTTGATAGCGATCAGTTTGAATCTTGAATCACGGACAAAACAAGTATTTTCCATGCTGAAAAAGTATGTCAAAACTGACTCCGCAGTATAATAGGAGTCCCACGTTTCCCAACCTCCAATTATGCTCAAAATTTATGCAAATCTTCTATTTGAATTAACTTTATGTTCTATGCGCACAAATCTTCCTGGACGTCATTTAAAACCCCAAGGTTTCTAACACCGTGGAAAACAGTATTCTTCGCAAAACAAGCATTTTTAATATACACGAACGACATATTCGAAATCAGCACATGACACTGCATCGAACTACGTATAAGACAATAAGTTTTCCATGAAAAAATTTCAGTCGAAATCTTTCGCTTGACAGTCTTTTACAGAGGTGCAGAATCTACCCATGAAATTGAGAAATTTTCCTCGAAGGAAAAAGTTTTTCAAAAATTTCCCGACATAATCGACGAACAGAATTTCTTTTTGCAAATATTTTGCAAAAAGAAATTCCAATTATTAAATACAAACAAATATTCTATTTGTTTTGTCAAAATGGATTTTGAATTTTACAAAAAAATTCAATTTTTTTTACTGAAACGAGTTTTCGACGTGAATCCATGTCATCGTCAGGAAATAAATTAATAATTTAAGAAAAGAATCATAACTATTACTATGTATTCTCTGTTAATCATTGTCAGTCAGAATTACTGTTGTAAAACCGTCGTGTATATATAGAGTAATAGTTGTGGTTTTCTTAAGGCCCCCTCCCCCCGGGTCAGAAATCTATCTCAGTCCAGGTAGGTCTGATCTCAGCCAAACTTTCAAGGAATGTTGACCATGTCAAAGTGTGGTAACGAAATTTTCTTTTGGTTCCACTGGCAACTGTTCGTGAGAGGGCACCACAATAAGGGCCAAAATAGGCGTCTGTCACGCACAGGAATGCTCATTCCATGTAAATGATAGAGAGCTCGGGCTGGTCTTGTTTTGCAGTAAACACCTATGGCTAAGAGTTGACAGAGTCCGATTTTTGAATTTCTCATTTAGTGATTTTTGGTGCTTAACCGACCCTTAAAGTCCGAAAAATTCTTACAAAGTTTCTTAGAAATCCGCATTTCTATAAAAAAATAGAAGCATAATTTAAAAATCGGACTCTGTTAACTCCTAGTTATAGGTGTTATCAACAAATCAAAAAAAAAAGCTTTCTCCTATGTACCGTTATCGAGAATTCCTGTGCGGAGCGAAAGCCCTGAAGCTAAAAAACAGTCTTGAGAAAAACGTAAAACAAGTTTGGATTCCGTTAAATGCACTTTACTTAAATACTGTTTGAGCGTTAAATAATTTTGCGAGAGATTATCGGTCATGGCGGATGTAATGAACATGTGTGCGGCCACGTGCGCGGGTTTATGCAAAACCAGTGCAAAAAAGCCATTTTTTTGGTGTATAGGGCTTCTAGAAAACTCGCTCAAACCCTATGAAAAACCTATCCTATCGACACAAAAAATATGCCATTAGAAAGTAGACACTTTGGACTATCCAACCATGTGCTTTTCTCAAAATCAATAGTTTTGACGAAAATCGGCATTTTCGATTGTGATTTCTGAAATCGACATTTATTGCCAACCAAAATCTAGTAACAATGTGCTTCCAACAGATTTCCAAAGTACTGATTTGCTGTTGAAATCGGTCCTAGGTATAAAAGCTTCACACATTGATGGAGTGATATTCTGTTCCACTGTTACAGATTGAAATTGACAATGATATTTTTCTTAAGGAGCTAAAAGATAAAAAGTAAAAAAATAAAACCCAAGGGAAAAAACAGCATTCAGGTAGCATTATATCAGTGCTCATTTTTAAAAGATATTCGAATGAAGAGAAGAGGAATCAACTGAAACTGGACAGAGGCGAGGGTGTCATAAACACCAATTTTTACCTAGATGTTCTTTATGAATGGGCAAGTCTAATCAGCCTTTTATAGAAATAACGCTTACTTTATTCTAAAGAATCATAAATTGAAATAAATCGCAAGATGAATGTATTATTATAGAGAAAGCTAATATAATCTCCCCATTCTGATGAATGAGTCACAGTTCGGTTGTAATGAGAGCCAACTTTCACTGTCTCATTTCATTCAATCATGTTTTTGGCGTTATTTTTCATAGAAAAAGATTCATTAAAAAAACAAATATCAGAGACATTACAAAAGGAAACGAGATAATAAAAAAATAGAAAATTTTTTCCATACTAAGAATGTTCTACATTTCCTAAACCGGTCCATCGACTATACTTCTCATATTCGTGTTTCTTCTTTTCGTCAACATCCGTATATCGAACAGCCACTTTTCGATTGGGAATATACTTAAATGCCTCATGCCAATTGCCTGTATGTTTCAAGGTCATTAGAATATTAAATACTTGATCTATTGTTAATGTTTTACCGCTGCCACTACCAAATCTATAAATGAAAAACAATTATAAGCAATAACGTTGGAACAAGTTAACAAAGAACTTACTTAACATATCGATCAATTGGTAAACGTTGATGTCGAATTTGTTGACGTTTTGCTTTTCCAAACGTTAACGGTTTCTTACTACCTAAAATGAAACAAAAACGAGGGTATAGCAAGTAATTTCCGCTTTTTCCGCAAAGAATAATTTCCTAAAAGCCTTGTAGTCAATAATAACCGATTTAAAACTCTTTGTCGAATAGCCTATCTTGTAGAGAAAAATTTGCTCTACAAAACTGTTATTATTGGCAGAAAAATTTGAATATGCATATTTTTCGTGTGAACCGTTTCAGAAAAGAGTAGAATATACCACCCTACCTATAAAAAATATTCCAGTGCGGCACTGGTAAACACTGGTAAAAACCAGTGCGCACGGCATGCCATCGGTCACTGGCACTGGCTGGCACCGGTGCACAGCAAGTGCCGAACCAGTGCCGATTGGCACCCGTGCGCACCAGTGCCGATATACTTCTGCTGAAAGAGTGCCGTATGGATGCTGCACTGGCAAAAATCGGTGCCGCACTAATAATTTATTTAATCAATTTAATTAGTTCTTTATTATGGTTGTTTATGCTGAATTTTGTATTAGAGTGCGGCACTGATCAGTACCACATCGACATGCCAAAACCATGCGGCATTGTCTCAGTACTTCTCTTATGAGAAGGAAATGATGAAGTCAGAAAGACATTCGAAATATTAGAAGTAGACTGTAGCGTTAATATAGACAGAAATTGATAAAACAAAATGGTGATTGAAAACAAAACTTCGGCACCGGTGCGAGATTTTTGCATTCTTTCTGGCACCGATGCGCATCGGCGCCCAGAAAAAAAATTATTCGGCACCGATGCGCACCTGTGCACAACCAGTGCCGATAAAATATTTTTTTGTAGGGCAGTTATAACTGATTCATGCTCAAAAAGATGTCAAACATACTCAAATCCACAATTCCACCAATGATATAAATTGCGTCGTGATCATATTCAAGCATTTCGTTTTGTGAATCGGGTGATAGATAAATAAATTTTTCTTTTGGAAATAGATCCAGATAGGACACTTCGGTGGTTTCAAAACATAAATTTTCCAAGGGTGATCGTCTATTAAATTCAAAATGTAATCGTCCATCTTTCATTAGATTACAGAGATAAACAAATGATGGTGAATGAAATTTATTAATGTCCGCATATAAATATTGAATTTGCTCAACGAGATTGCTAAGATAACGTTCACGTGCATGCTCTTGTTCAAAACCACAATCAATAACAATGATGTCATTTAATCGAGCAGGTATTAATAACTTTTGTTCACGCATTAATTTTTCATGGTGATGACCAAAATGACGATATATTGAGGCATATCCCGGATAATTACTGGGCACTCTTCCGTCAGCTAGCAATTCTGAACGTTTTTTTGCGGATGCTATACGACGTTTATCATTTATTGCCACGTTTGCTGCACGTTTTTTCTTATGTAATTCACGCAAAAATAAATATCTGTTAGAAAGAAAAACGCAACTGAGTAACATCCTCTTCAAAATCTCTAACATATACAAAAAAATTATTATTACCCATATATAGTTTTTCGACTCTCTAACAATGCTGTTGTTGATAATTCTGACCATTTTTCGTCCGGTATTCTTTCTGGTACTCTTTCTCCACTTTCTCTTAGTGTTTGCAATTCTAATTCTATGACACGACGTTTCTGTGCCTCATTTAAATCAGTAAATATTTGTCTATCACGCAAATACGCCCATAACCATTCATTTTCATTTGTTTCGTTAAAATCATCCGACGATACAGATGAATCCGATTGTGACGGTGATATACGAGAATTTGTGGTCGGCGATAATAAATTTTCTGCTGGAGCAACACTAGAAAAGAGACGTTGACATTGGATACATAAACTACTACGCTGTTCTACAACTTTTCTAATTAAGTAAGAAAATAACATCTAAAAAAGAAAACAAATAAAATTTTCGTTATATCAAGTTTCGGTTCTTTACGATCATGGCAACAGAGCGAGCATATCATTGCATTGGTAAACAGTACACTTTGATTTTTGGTTTACAGCAGTAACACTAGACCCATTTTCTCGCCTGTTAGAGTAAATCTAACATGATCTTGAAGACAAAAGAGCTAAGTGAACAATTTTAGAAAGCTATGAAGGCTGGTCTGCAGACTAGAAGCCCGCATTTGAATTTTCAGAGTATATTCAGGGACCTATACGAATTCTGAAACGAAAAACGTTTCAGTTCCTTAGTCTAGTAACAAAACAATATCAATTAAAACGATTAACTTCGCTCGTAATCATTTGTCGTAGTCAGTTGGTTGTAGATTATTTGGTTTCATTTATGCGTAGCTTCAAAACTGACAGCTAAGTGTCCAGGATACCGTTGTTTACTTTTAGCTCCAAACAGTAGCTCCAAGGAGAGGCTATCTATGTTAATTCACACTGATCCTGACTTCTTGGAGCTATACTAAAAGGTAACAACGCCAGCATACCACACTTCATCGATATCAAGAAGAGGAGGTGATTGGGTAAACTTTAGAATGAACATTGGTTGAAACGTCGATCAATGAGGGTATATCGCCATCAACTAGACAAAAAGTTAATTGTTACAGCCATGGTAGCGCTATCACAAAATATTAGCCACTCAGTTAAAGCTTTTTAGATATCACAAGTAATAGTTTTTTTGATAAACATATGAAACTCGGAGGGAAGTGATAGTGAAGATCAGATTTACTGCAACAAAATGTGTGAGAGTCTTTGATTTCCGTCCGCCTTCAGAAAGTGTTTAAAAATTATACAGTTTTTTTGTTTGTAAGTTTTTATTTACGTTACCACTGTACAGACAAAAGTGGTTTAGTGCATCTTGAGCTTAGATAAAAGATTAGTTTCTGTGAGCATTAATTAGCTATCGTTCGTTTGTAGGCATAGTATATTTCTTATCTTTTGATAACTCCAGTTGCATAGTACCATAACTCGTAATTTCGATGCCTGGTTGTATAGTTAAGCCAATAATAGAGACTGCGCGAACTCTCCGTTGCGAAATTAACATAACGTATTCTTCTTGTATCTTTTGGGGTGATGTATGTGTTATCTTGTCTGAACTATGGCTAAATCCCTTTTTTATCTTTCTCGATAGTACCTCTCACTCCGATTCTGCATTACTCTTCAAACACCGGATGTGGATCTCGATATAACTCGACGAGCTCTTCAAAATGAGTAGGTCTCATCGATAGTATGTATGCCTTTTGTCGAAAACTCAAAACACCGAAAGTGAAAATGCAGAATGCACAAGATCGAAAATCTGAAATGTAGAAAAACAAAAATGACGAAAGTGCAAAATGTCGAACGGTAAAAACAATGGAAGATGAGTGTAAGTGGATAAATGAAGCATGAAGTGCTAAGAATTCGTTGTAGTTGAAAAACAGATCTGTCGAGCTGCGTAGACTATGGTCTATACTTGTTAATGTCAGCTCATCAAACAGAGCGGCAAAAGATTTCACATAGAGACAAAATGACCGTATGCACAAAAGATTTGCAAATTTATCGGGAGAATTATGAGCAAGAAATATTTTTGAGATGAGTCCGTTTCCAAAACTCACATTTCCGTTGTTTTTACCGTTCGACATTTCAGGTTTTCGATATTTTGCACTTTCGTCATTTTTATTTTCGCCATTCTTATATTCGATATTGTGCATTCTGCATTTTCACTTTCAGTGTTTTGAGTTTTCGAGATTCTGCCATATATTCTCATCGACTGCACTAGAGTTTACGATGATTATAACCGCTCTACATCGAGCTTTCATGTTTAGTATAATCAATCTTAAAAACTTCGTTCTACTATATACATGTTTTCTTTCTGTATGGTATGGTATAACATTGCCGATTATTCTTCTAGCTACTAATTTTATAGTTCAATTTGAAAACAACTACAAAATTTCTATGTTTTCGATCAGCCAAAAATGATATATCTATAAGACAGTGAGATATCTCTTGTACCAGAAAGTGAACACCGCTGGATCAAGTTATGCATTGCGTTATTGCTCCAAAATAGTGTTACTGTATAGACGTTGACCCTGAACCTTTTCATGATTAATACATTACATGCGAAAATAGAACGACTCCTTTTCATTTATCTGTACATTGCATCTTCTATCGATGTTAAAGGTGAATGAATGAATCATTTATCAATAATTGTATGAATGGAAATATAAAATAATGGAACTTCATTCAAATATCTACAGATCATACGAATTATTGCACTTTTTGGATGGAATAACTAGCTAAAATTTATATCCGAATAGTTTAGTGCTATATCACACTGAATTTTATATCAAGATCAAAACCACATAATATTCAGATAGCAAAGCTATTGTATTTTTCAAAAGAGATAATTTGTTTCCCTGGACATTCAACAAAACATATTTGATTGCTAAGTCTTTTATTTATTATAAAGTTACTGAAAAAAAACCATATAAAATGAAGAAACCTCGGTTGAAAAACCGCTGGTAACACTTTTATGAAAAAACAAAAATCTTGCAAGCTCTTGTTTACTTGCACAAGTAATAAAGGTATATTTTACTTACTATTTGATACACCAAACGTCATTGAAAAAATTAATAATATTATTTGGATATGAAAATAGAGCATCGTGTGTAATAAATATTGTACAAGATGCATGGAATTTTTGCAGCAAAAATTTTTTTCTCTGCAAATTATTCGACATTTTATTAATTGTACGTGTAGGATACGTGATTCGATCATACGATAACAGGCGCAAAACGAAAACAGAATTTCTTCGTCGACTTTAAATATATTTTCTGTCAACAAAGCAGGCTGTGATATGAATTAGAAACACCACATGTCACTACCTGTTTGATGACAGAAAGATTGAATTTATCTACCCAATATTATAGATGTTGCATACATTTAATTGCCAAGCGTGTGAGTATTGTTCATAAAAGTTAATGCAATGAATCCAGAGGAATTAACTGGTAAAAGTAAAGTCAAAATACGATGAAAACTCAATCAAAAATAGATGGTTAGTTGTACTATTGATAAATCAAATAACTCGTATAAAGAAACTAAAATGAAACATTTTAAATTAAAATAATGTTAATCGGCCATTTTATCAGTACCATCTATGTATTGTCGAACTGTGTATATGACTAATGTTTAAATCTTCAATTGTTTATCTATAATCAAATATACCCTCTCACCATTTTCTCGTCCTGTCTGGTTTTGAACTAAACGATGTCAATATGTTGTGTCATTTCCACCAAAGCTAACTGTGATATGAATTTCTGATCGACATAACACCGCTAGTTGGCGGAACGAAAGAACAACATTCTTTTTTCATTATGCATACTAATTAATGGACTAACTGAACTTGTTCATTTTTACTCGCTCGTATACAATCCAAATTTATGTTCTCATCGTGATCGAATAAAAAAATATTAAAAAAAAGCTACAATAGATGGATAGTTTAATTAAATTGCTTAGAATCATCTACAATTTTTTGTTGTACGTATTAATGATTGATGTCTTGAATGACAAAATAGAGTTTTTCGTTCCTAAGTGGAATAAAAAGAAGAAAACAAACCGACACAAGAAAAACTTTTTCATCTGTAGCATGATTGTTCAACAAAACAGCATCTAAATCGATCACGACAATGAATAACAAAAAGAAAAATCTCATTAATTATAAAAGAAACATATATTTAAAAGAAAAACGTAACACAAAACGCAAATTTTTTAGTCAGGTGAAATTTACAAGTAGTATAAAACAATTGGTAGTTACAATATTGAACAACAATTTTTCTCCTATTGTTTTACATTTTCTTCCTAATAACAAAAATTAGATATTTGTTTTGTCGACGTGTCTTGAGGATATACACATATACACTTTTCCGGTCTATAAAGACCACTTTCCTTTTCATTTGTCATTTACACCTCAATCTCCGTCCCTCTTTCTCTCTCTTTCTCGCTATGCCATAAGTTATGCAGTATTTCTTTTCCTTGTTTTTCTATTTCTTGTTCGTCGGCTTTTTTTCACCTATATACACGTATTTACTTGTGAAAATGTTATTTTATCGATGTTATTAGATCTGTATAACGTGTATGATGAATATTTGAACAAACACTATATAGAGATGATTTGAAAAGAAACAAGATAAAAAAACTTTACATTAATTTGATATAACAAACAAATGAGTGTTACATTAAAATACGAACAATGATTCAGATCAGTATCAGCATGAAATTGGAAAACAAATGCAAAATGTTCAGCAATAGAACGATAACCCGCGGCCTAAAGAAAAATATTCAAAAGCTAAAAAAAAGATAATTTTTTTAAGGTCTTGCTAAATGTGAAAATCGTTTTATTACTACTAAAATTGGTTACAAATAAAAGGTTTTGATGAGGTCTACCGTTCTTAATCTTCAAATGGAAACCGAACAACAAGATTTCTATGTTACTTTGTTTTCTTACTTTTTTTTCTGAGTTTTGCTGTTTTATCTATTGCCATTCGATAAGCTATCAACCTATACAACTATAGCTAAAATGAAATTCATTTCAGTCCGGCGTCTACCGTAGTAAAATTTTTACATTATTTAGATAACATTATCTTTAGTTTTTTTGCATTTAGTAGCTAATGCATTAAAGCTCACATGTAGACCTGATGTTTTGTTTTGTAGAGACAATTTTTCGAAGTATTCCATAAAACTAATCATGTCTACTATTTTTAATTGTTGAATTTATGGTCTTAATGAAATTATAACTGTATTCTAGCTGTGCGACTGTGCGATACTATGCAAAATAGAAGAAAGTCCGTTATTCTTAATAAGAAAAGATATTTGAAAATTAAAAAATAGTTTGTAACATTGCGATTACATACCCGATACAATCACAACTGAAAATAGTCATATACATACGATAAAACTTAACGTTTCCAAATTCGTGTCTATATTCGTATTTGTCATCGTCCAAAATAAAATGAAATGACTATTGATGTGTTCTTCATATTACATCGTCAAATCGGGTATTTATATATATGTACGCAGCAAAAGAGATAGATTCCATTCGCGTTTTCTTCTTTTGTTCCTTTCATATATTTTTTTTATTATTATTGACCTATTGTATGATGCACACACACACACAGTTATAGTGAAAATGTTTTATACATGTTCTAAGAGATATCTATTATTCTTCTCTTCATTTCTCTTCTTCGCTCGTTCGTTTCTTGTACACACATACATTTGTCGTTGTGTTATACTTCATGTTCGTCTTCATTTTATAGAGAGGC